CGGGCGCCAGGCCGGCTCCTGCCGGAGCCCTGCCTAGAGTTTTTTTTGCACTCTACTATTAGTATAGTTCAGTCACAAATATCCTCAAACCCATCATAAAATTCATCAATGATTGATATTTCAAACAAAATTATAGATGTACCAGAGCTATGAAATGATATATCTGAAATTTGATTCAATGATTTATGTGATTGTTGAGGAACATTTGTGAAAAAGCTAGCATATTCTTGATCTTTTATAAGAGTGATAAACTGGGTAAAACATTGAGCTAAAGCATCTATACCATATAGATTATTTATATCTTTAGGAGACAATCGAAGCAAAATCTTGACAAGGATTTCATTTGGCAGGTCATTCAAATTCACACGAGACATCAATTTGTTTTGATAATTTATATTAACTTTGGGATTTTACTTTAGTAAAGCGCGTCGATAGATTTGAATAGTAGAATTTTACTGACCGTTTTTGTTAAGCCCCACGTAATCTAACGCTGTAACTTAATGCAGTAGGGCGACAATTTCCATGGAATATAAGGTGATTCTACACCTGTACTTTAAAATTAAAATACAAAATAATCAATGGAACGCGTATGAGAGTAGCTACATATAGTTACTTGGAATTTCTATAATATGTTTATTTTCATTGTGAGCAGGATAATATGGGTGCACAGTGTGGGCATGACTAATCAAAAGTACTTTCAAACGTGCACCCACTAGTATAATAACATTCACATTCAGATCTTTCTGCAGTAATGCTAAATTCTTTTATCTCACCATCACAATTAATGCAATGGTCTTCATTGTCGAACTTATCGATACTTTTATGTAGATATGACATTGGGTAGTTATAGTCATAGTTCTTAAGATCTGATGACTTGACATACATTGAACCACCTGTTCCACGATTAAATTCATCTGATGGTTCTGGTGTGATACTGTCAGTATTTCTCAATAGCCTACCACCAACTGAAAGTCTGAAATTTTTCAAGGCATCTAGGTTTAGTTTGTTTTCAAAACCTTTTAATTTTGGAGCATGGATTTCCACGGAAAGTATTTTAGATTTTTCATTCAGAACCAGAGTATCCAAAGACTTCAGTTGAGGTCCAACCAACTCTTTAATGTCACATTCACTGATTTGTAAATGTCTTAAAAGATCGTGATTGTATAACTCTAAAATTTTTAATGAATAATTTTCCAGATATAACTCTTTGAGATTAGGAGCCGAAATGTTCAAGGACAGAAATGACCTCTCCTTTTCATCTTCAGGCATTTCCCTGTTTTGCAAAGCACTAAAGTTTTCAAGTTGTGCAAAGTGACCAGAAAATGTTATCTTAGTTTCTTTACAAGATTCAATTATAATTTCCTTCAGCTTTGAGTGCACTAGTCCACGAACCTTGAATGAACTTTTATAACTCGATATTATTAGACTTTCTAAATTTGGAAACGATGGCTCCAGTTTCTGAGTTATATTACCCAAATTGTTGAGCTAATCTTTTGCGATATCAACCTTAAGTTCCTTCAGTTTTGGACATTGGAAAAATGGTATGCAGTTAGAAGTTGTACTTAAATACTGTTCACTGAGGAAGATATGGAGAGCCTCGAGTTTGCAAAGCTTCAAAGAACTCATCATTCCCTCAAAGCCTTGATCATAGGCAAACAACCTTACCCCCAAGAACTTCAAATTTGTGGTATCAATGTTTTCTAAAAACTCAGACGCGTTCCGGAATATGAATAAGCCTGATGATTGGTTAAAAAAGGAATAATCTGACCCTGTCAGCTCATTTTGAATATTTGCATGTAAGTATTCCAAGTTTGGAGCCTTGGTGTTGACTGTCTCACACGAATTTGCTGTAAGCTCAAGATATCTTAGTTTTGGGAACTTAATGTTTCTTAAAATAACATTGTCATTATCAGAATCATGCACAATGCTCGGTTTCAGCATAGCATTGTTTAACAGTGGAAATTCAAGATTTTCCAATGTCAACTCAGATATAAAATGTACGTCCAAGATTCTTAACGCAGTAAAATCACAGTTATATATATGTATAGGGTCATCAGAGCTAATAAGTAGAGATATAAGATTCCTGAAGGAGATATGACTCAACTCATGTTTGGTGGTGTCACAATAATAAAGCTCTAACATGAGCAAATAGTCAAAATCAATAAACTGCTTAATTGGTTCAATGTCATGTCCCATCAGACAGAGCTCTATGGGATTATTGAAGTGGAGCTGACCTGCATTACTCAAAATCTCACAACAACTAAAACAATTAGTATATTATCATGAGTATTTAAAGTATTGTTGCTTGATTCAAGTTCAACTTTAAGATCTATCCCATGGATTAAATAAATTTATTGTATAACAGCTAATTTGCTATACAGAAAACATTCTAATAAAACTAGTTGGTCACAACAAAATAAGTTTCAAAACTATTGACAAACCCAATTTGAAAGAATTCGTTGATAAGTTGTTAATTAATCATATCACAAATGAGAAAAGACAGGTTATACCATTAAATTGATTAAAATTGCTAGGAAAGAAAAACTTGATAAAAATGGTGAGCGCAGCATGATTTGAAGATCAAAGCTTAAGATTATTAGCTGCTAATATCAATATCTTATACAATGATCTCATGAAAGTATATACCAGAATCTCTGTCTTTTTACATGAATTATTTAAGACGTTAAATTCATTTATATATAATCAATCAAAGGATTTCTTCTGATATCTCTAATATACAAATCTAAAATCTAATCTTTTATTACCTTCATCAGTAGTTTCCAAAATATACTTTTCTTTTTCTTCATCAGTGAAAGACTCCCATATTTTATCCTTTTGTTTATTTCTAAAGATATAATATTGTCTACCAATAACACACGCGGCAAGTGTACCAAATGCAATACCAATTAAATCAGTATTACCTCTCTTATATAATGGTTTATCATCTGGTCTATAAATATTTGCTGAAATTATACCACCAGCTTGTGAAAACATATTAACCACTGCAGCACTAACAGCTCTTGTACGAACAGAATTTGAATTTGCAGAACACCAACTAATAGTCAACGGCCAAATTGGAGAATGTCCTAATAATAAAGTTAAAATAGCATAGGTTGGCCATACTTTAATTTGTGAACCTGGCCAAAATCTTAATGGGAATGTCAAGGCTAAAATCCAAACTGAAACACTTCCAATTAATAAAGCTCTTGATTTAACAATTTCTGAAAGATAACCAATTATTAACATTGTGAAAATTGTTAATATATTATATGGAATTGTAAGTAAATTTGTATTTAAAGTAGAAAAACCAAGTTTTTTTAATGTTAAAGTCATATAGTTTGAAACTGGTGATGTACCAATATCACCCAAGATTCTAATAATATAAATTGGTAATAAATCATAATCTAATAATGTTTTAATTAATTCTTTAAGACCAACTGGTTGTCTATTATTCATATCACCTTTATTTGGATCATCTCTTAACACTCTATTAACAACAATTTTTTCTTCATGTTCTGTAAACCAACCTTTTTTTCTAAACCATGTCTTTGTTTGAACAGCTGATGGAGGCATTTTGAAATATGATACAAGACCAACAATTAAAGTAAATGCACCTTCAACTATGAATAACCATTGCCAACCATGTGGTAATAATGTGGTTTTAATTCTCAATAATGCAAATGCTAATAAAGATGAAAAAACAGAAGTTAATGGATTTGCAATATAAAATAATGATAATCTAAATGGTAATTCTTTTGAAGTATAAAAATAAGACATCCATAAACAAGCATCACAAATAAACCCACCTTGGAATAAACCAATTAATGCTCTTGTAGCATAAAATCCTGATTTTCCTTTAATACCAGCTTGTGCTATAGATACAACACTCCATAATACTAATTGAGTTGGAATCCAAACATCAGCACCTAATTTTTAGAAATTAATTGAGATGGTAATTCAGAGATTAAAAAGCAAACTAAATTAATCGTATGACCAACATTATAATGACCAGTATCTAAACCTAAATCATCCAACATATTATCTGATAAAGCTTGTGAAATATTTGATCTATCAAAATCTAAAGCGGTAAACATAAAATAAGCCCAGAAAGTAACATACCAATCTAATTTCCAAACTAATTTACGTTCTTCTTTTGCGGTCCATGTATAATCAGGATCAAACCAATCTTTACATTCATAATTTGTACTTTCATAAAGTTTTCTATAATATTCAGCAGTTTTAGGATCTTTAAAAATATGTTCTAATTGTTTTTCATTTGATACTAATGATTCTTCATCATTAAATTGTTCTTTGGTATGCGTAATTGTGAAATTTTTGGTACCTTTTTCCCCTTCTGAAACATTTAAAGAAGTGTTGGCACTAAAGTTTGGCACTCTTTCTTCTTCTTTAATTATAGTTGGATTAAACCATCTTCCAAGAAAATTTGGCATTTTGGATTAAATCTTGATAAAGTTAAGATTTAATAAATAGCCCAGCAAATCTTCAAACTGTGAGAATCATCATTATATATAGAACTTTCATGACTTAAAGAAAAGGGTCCACATAAAATGCATATTTTGGTCCATCAATTTCTTTTTTCTAAACTGTGGTTAAACCTATTATCCAATACCAGGGTCCAGAAGTCCAGAATACCAATTTAATCATGAGACATCCTTAACATTTCATTTTTCTAACGGTGCAGTAAATTTTAACAGCGCCAACAAGCCACAACGGTGATGAAAAATAAAAACATTATTGGTGATCTAAGACTTATGCATCCTCTGTGGCACATTTTATCCAAGCTGTATTACCGATTTACCCATTAATGTCTGTAGACTGTATGTAGCTTTTGAAATACAAGACCAATTGTATGGTTTATAGCACGTATTTTAAAACTGTGGATTCAAAACATTCCGTAATCGGCAGCCGTCAAAACAATTGTGTCAAAGCTGTATGAATCTGAAGCTTCAATTGGACCCTGTTAAATGAGCATATGTGATTTGTAATTAGCTTCTAGTTCATATCTGTATATCTGAAAATGTGACTAGTTGAAGATTCAGCGATTCAGCTAGAAATTATGCAGCAATATCTAAAATTCAAGCTTTATAGGCAAATAAAGAAAACCATGTTTTGATTATATAATCACTGATGAACTTTAGCTTATTAACTCTAGAAGTCCGAAGCGTTATGATTGTATAATGAAATTTTATAATGAGTATGTATTCTTCATTGAAAATTCATGTTAAACAGCTGACGGCTACTATACAGCCTCATCATTTTGTCTTTATATAATTTAATATTCGTACATATAGTATCCAGTTGAGTTCCATCTAAGGTATATCGAAATTAACTACATAAATCAAAGTGAAAGAAGTAATACGTCTTATTGTACTTATCATATAAACTTTGAAAAGTTAAGAACATAATGAATACGTAGTTCAAGTTAATTTATCATCAACGAATCTTCCAAAATATGGATATCAAATTGAATGAATCAATAAACTGAAAAACTTTTAGTATTAAAACCTTGACTAAACCACAGTGACTATAAATACATCAGAGGTTATGAAAATGAATAATTAAAAAATTCAATAAACAACTTATGTGCACCTAAAGACTTAACAACCATACGTTTAAGTGGAAATACTGGAAAACGTTCAAACAATGTAATGTGTATCTTAGTGAGGAATAGAACAAGAAGGGATCATGAATTTAACTCCTTAAAATAAAAACAATTACATTAGTTTCGATTATATAATCACGGTGCTACAGCTGAGTAATCATAATAACCTGCATTAATGATTTATCGACAGATTTTGGTTCATTAAATCAAGTGAAATGTAGTTCATGGGGTACATGATTGTGACGAATTTTCCCTCATTTGGCTGTCCTTTACGAACTCCTGTTGTTCCTTGGAGCTCGTTCGTTCCATTAATGAATAAAGAAGCATCATTATCACCAGATGATAATGTTTCCACAATCAATTTTATAGATATGATTTTGTGTAGCATCCTAATTAATTAAAGTAAAAGAAATTTTAAAACATCATATTGTTTAATTAAAAGCTTTATTTCAAAATTATTTACTACCTTCGATTCTATCATAATCCACTATAATTGTCAAAACAGCGGCTAATATCAATTAAAGCATATTGAAGTACAGCTGAATATATGAACAATATGATAAATATAGATATTGTAGTACTATATCTGGTATATTATATATTACAAAATCGACATTTCAACTACATTATAGTAACAAAATAACTCAGTTTTAAAATGGGAAGTAGTCATTGACTTATAATTATATTGAAAGAAATCTACACTACCATTAATTATATGACGTTAATGAATTAATCTAATCATCTTGTTTAATTAATGATTAAGAAAAAAATTAACAAGAACAATGGTCACTTGTGAAACAAGGGATCCACTTATGATAGGCCTATTGAAATTAGCATCATTTCCAATGAAGAACGCGTCTGCTGTCCGACGTAAATAAAATATGATCATGACATAGATTCAAAATGTGTTCAAAAGTAGCTTGAAAAAAAAATTAGGAATTTGAATTCTTTAAATACTCTAAATAATAATTAGCCGCTGTAGTAAGATTACAAAGTACAAATATAAAAATAAAGTTCCGAACTTTGAAATGGAAAAAGAATCAATTAACTTGTATATTATTGAAAATGCTCTAAAGGTAGTAAGCTTGTAGGTGATAATCAACACTCATTTGATTTGTTTGTTAGTAGATCATGAATATCTAAAGTATTGTTACTTATCAAGCTCAACTTTAAGAATTAATTCATGAGTCAACTAGCAGGTTCAAAGCCAATATACTAAAATTCGAACCTAGTTCACTTTGGTTAGTAAGCCGATTAAAAATTTTGTTTTTAATTAAATATGAACTCACATTTCACCATAATATTCTGGAACACATCAATTAGATCCTTAATAAGTTTATCAATCCTTTGTGCTTGTTAACATGTTGAAAATGAAGATTTATTCAAATTCTTTAAACCCCGCGAATTTTGTCAAGTTTGTAGGCATCCTATCTTCTATGATCTATCTCCCAGTAAAAAGACACTCGTCAACGTTAACCAATAAACATCAATAAGATAGACTAATCATCACAATAGTAGGATATAGATAGATATAAGTGACTTAATAAAAAATACACCAATTGATACAAGAACATCAAGACCAATAACTACAACAATATAAAAGCATTGATTACACAATTACACAAAATATTAATCAGTAATGACTTAATGCAAAATAATAATGAATGCTCAGGTATTAGGTCATTTCAACTCTGTACAAGATTTTTATTTCAACTTTGTACAAGATTTTTGATGTGAACAATCAAACCAGCTCTGTGATTAAAAACTCAAAGTAGAGGACTTTATGAAGTAAATCAAATCTAACCTTATTGATATAAAATTCATATGAAGATAATACGATCAACTTAGAGCAATTCAAGCTAGAAGCTATATATATCAACACTTTATTGTATAATCAATCATGATCCACTTAAAAATCATACTGAAGATTATATCCCCCTTTAATTAAGCGCCTTATATATAACTACATGAGTCAAAGTGAAATAAGTGAAACAACGTCTTATTGTAATCATAAATACTTTGAAAAATATAGAACTTAGTAAATTTATAATTCAAGTTAATTTATCATCAATCTATAACTTCCAGAATATGGGTTTCAAAATTGAATGAATCAAGAAACTGAAGTGGTTTCATTTGATCAGAATATCAAACATAACTGGCTCAAAGAGAAAAGCTTTAAAGTCCATAAGGAGCAAATGAAAATTTTGCAAAAAGGCTGCAAACAAAGTGTTAGTTGATCCAATATGTGAAGTTATAAAAAAATTTTAAAACATTTATATTTGAGATCATATTGATCTTTAAAAAAAAAGTGGGAAGCAAACCCTTTTATATTTTTCCCCAAATTTTTTTCAAATCTAAATTTCTACTCCATTTGCACTTTAAAGAAACACAGCGGCTAATTAATCAAATCGTGTATTGATACACATGTAATGAATCTATTAACTATTAAATGAGTCTATTATGAAATCCTTGAGTTGTTCTAGTAGATACTTCACAATCGAGCTTTTAACTACGTTATACATCAATTCAAAATGAAAAGTAGTCTTTGATTTATAAATATTCAACTACCTTTAATATGATGTTCTAAGTTAATCTAATCATCTTGTATAACTAATGATTCAAAAGACTTAACAAGAACAATATTTGTATAAAGATATCCAATGATTATGATATTATAATCAATGGAAAGTTGTTGGAGGACCTTGCAAATTGAAGAAAAAAAACCTTTATGTTCTAGTAATAAGTTGAGGAAAAACACAAACCACAGCTCTCATTAGCATTTATATTATGGATGTTTTGATCAATCTCAGCTTTGGAAAACATGAAAACAAATCAGGAACTCTTTCACTCTTTAAATACCTTCAAAATCAGCCGCTGTAATTAATTGCATAGCTTGGAACAATTACATCGATCTAAAATTAACTGTACAAACATGGAAAGAAATTGAGCTTTGAAATGAAAAAATTAATCAAACTTGTATATTGAAAATATTCTAAAGGTAGTGAACTTATAGATGATATTGCATACGCATTTGATTTGTTTGTTAGTATATCATGAATATCTAAAGTATTGTGACTTATCAAGTTCAACTTTAGGATCTAACTCATGAGTCAACAGCTAGTGTTTTGCAACTGAAAGATCCAATAACGGGATCTAGTTCATTTTAATTAGTAAATAACCCGAGTCTGCTGTGGATTTGAATATGAACTTACCCACTGCAGTAACAATATAAAAGGAAAATACTCGACACTTTTCAAAGATGGTATTTATTGTGTTGATGTGTTTCCGTAGCTTGTCAACTTATTGTCAAGAATGAAATTTTATTTAAATTCACCCCTTTGCTTACTAACCACCACCAGAAAAGATGTAGTTTCACAAATTTGTTGATTGATGATTCCACATGGCCAATGCATAATCTTACAAGTACTATGAGTAGGAGGTTAGTGGCTGTTTCCTCAGCTTTCATCGCATTCAACTCATTATTCAAATATAAAAAAGCCGAACAGCGTACTACGTATGGTGAATATCCAATGATCAATTCCATTATATATGGTTTAAATAGCCGCTACGATGAATAAGAAGCCATTTAAAGAGATCAGAATTTATATTGATTGAGTATATGAAATATCTAGATTATACATCACACTTTAATCATCATAAACTTCTTTGCTATTGTGAACTTATAATCTTACTTTAGTCACAAAGAATCAATTGATAAGTCACTCAGATCTTTGCTGTTCAATAAACCTATTCAACTTGTCAATTTGCAAGGGAATTAAACTATATTATAATTGCAGAATGGGACGGTGTAGCTAGTCAAATTTAGCATTTGGCCTTTGAATACTAGAACTATAGATTAAAGATATATTCTATTAGTATAAGGATAAATTTGTTAATTTGAAGAATTTTGTTGGCATTTTATACAAAAAAATTAAGTTTAATTAAAATTTCCAAAAGTTTCCAATTAGCGCCTCCTTTTTCTTGAATAACATTAAAATAGCTTGATCACCGGCCGAAATAGAATATGGTTATTCCTTACTATTAAGCAAAATATACAATGAGTTACTACGCACAACCTTCCAAAAACACAGAGTATCATTGCATTATATCAATATATATAAATAAATATAAATAATCATGAGCCCATAAATTAAATTTCATTGTGATTTCTTGACCATCTTCATGTGTGATTAAACTGCAAGAATGAATCAAAAGACAACAAACGCTTAATTTTGATTAACTTGATATATATCAAGCACGGATTTACTAATTGTATAATTCACAACATCCGTCTAGTATTCTTATGAGAAGCTAACTTGTTATGCATGAGTTAGTTATCTTATTGAAGTAGCTTGCCATGGGAAGATCAAGTTTAACGAAATTGCCTAAACTGACAGTATAACATAAACTCACGCATCCAAATAATTATGATCGCCACTGGAATCTTAAATTTTGTTTCTATACTCAATTAAAAGTTTGATCATATATATCTGAAGGTTATTTTCAAATGTACATTTCAGTAGCCCCACCTTGTAGAATATCAAAGAATTATATTCATGTCCAAACCTAATTTTAAAAGAATCTCGCTGTAAGTTATACTGATCAGGAGAACAACAGGTGAATATGTAGATCCTGTATCTCCGACAAAATCCGGGATCAAAAATGTGTCAAAAATATAAAATATTAATAAAATCATGAATTTTTGGTGAAAACAATATTTGAAACTCCTTTAGTGTGTTTTTCTAGGTTTAATGTTACTGGTTATTTAGTTAGAATATCTGAATTGCAAGTTTGAAATTTTGTGAATTTTCAGGATTTCAATTTTTGAATTAAATTTTTACTACTAAGATACACAAACTCTACATTAAATAAAGAATTAATTTTTAAAAAATAATTATATGTCTCAATTAAGCTCAGAAAACACACTCAGCGCTTTTTAATGGTTACCTATACCCAAAATTGATCAAATGTTTGATTCTTTTATTATAAATAATAAAGATTAAACAGGAAGAAAGTATACTGATTACATAATCAATATTAATATAATATTATAAATATTATAATTATTCAATAGAATTGATGGTTAATATCTTAGATTAGGCGGTGGGATTCGATTATAACTATGGTGGGTATTCATCATTAAGATAGTAGGGCTAGAAATAATTTGATAATGAGTCAGGAAATGAGTATTGGTGTCTCTAGGATATACTTCAACATCTTTAGCGTTTTTTGCTAACTAGATCGATCAACAATAGCACCAATCCCCAAGCACCAGGCAACTAAGATATAGAAAAGAATGACATATAGACAATTTCGTTTTTGTAGTTAAGAAAATGAATAAAAAGTACTCAGATTAGTTAACGAAAAGAACTGCTTCAAGAATTAATATACGTACTCATCAATTCAAACTAACATTTAGCAAGTATTTATTTCTTTATGATTAAGCGCCCAAAGAGAGATGTGAGTTAGAATGCTACAATTTGAAGACTAAAAACAAACAAAGTAATAATATATTCATAATAAAAGAACTGAATAACTATTGACCATTGTAATGATTATACTTCTGATCATCTTGTTATATAAAATCACAAGAATGTTAGTCAAAGCATAATCATATTCATAAATATGAAATCAGTTTGAAAACTCTTATTCCTAGACAAGTTAACCAATAAACTTTACTTTTTGAATGAAGCAGTAACAACAAAATGGGTTTTGCAAAAAGTTTTTGACCTGATCAGGATGGTAGGAGTAAATATTCGAGTCCAGAAATCAGGAAAATTCAATTGTTTAAATATTAAAATTTTAAAATTATTAGCCGCTGTAATTAAAATTACACAAAGACAATTTAAAGTTATAAATATTCAATTCATTTTGATTACATCATATTCTAAAAATATGATAAAGAACTTTGAACCTATAATTCTTTTGAAAGTTTTTATTATATATTATTTATATATTGAATTCATGAATACATTTTAGACTAGGAGGTGATATTCTATGATATGTGCTGTGGATAGCCATTATTAAGATATCAGCGCTAGAAATTAATCCATTTTGAATCAAGAAATACGTATTGGATTCTCCAGGATATGTATTTAACAGCTTCAGCAGTTTAGCTAGTTAGATCGATTTATTATAAGCACCAATTAGAAACACACATTAATTGAGATACAGTAAAGAATGAAATTTATAGAGTTTCATTTTTGTAATTAAGAAAACTGATAAAGAGTAATCAGATCCATTAATGGAACGAATGACTTCAAGAATCGATATATAGATACTCATCAATTTAAAGTAATATATATATTCAACATGTATATAATTATTTAGTGATGAAGCGCCCAATTAAAGCTATATAACTACAATTTAAAAATTAAAAACAAACAGAGTAATAATATATTCAATATAAAAGATTTGAATAACTATATACCATTTCCCCTGATTATACTTTTGATCATCTTGTTCTAAGCTCACAAGAATGTTAATCATAATATAATCACATATATTTATAAATGGAAATCTCAACTTGAAGCTGAAGCAACTCATAACAACACAAAGCCCAATTGTAAGAAGCTGAAAATTCTGATATAAACAAGGTTGGTGCTATTTCATTCACAGGTAATATGATATCCGCTCATGACTTTCCCCAATATCATTCAGACTAGAGAAAAGCTGATAGTTATCAGGATAATGTCCGTTATATAATAAAATACTAATTAATTAAATCAGGAAAATTTAGCATTTAAATGTAAAAATTATTTGAAATTTACAATTAGCCGCTGTGATTAGAATTTAAATTACACAAAAACAATAAATCATCAATGCGATTACGTCATAAGCAGTAGTATTTAGACATGAACTATACACTTTCAGATTCCAATTAAGCACTTAAACCTAATTCTTTTGAAAATGCTTCATTATTTGGTTCTCTACCTAATAATTCTCTCAAATTATAATTTTCTTCTTTTGAACCACCTCTTGCTAAAATAATATCTCTATATTGAACACCAACTTTATTATCTAATGGATTAGATTTAAATTTAGTATAATAAATATCTGCTGCAAAGACTTGAGACCATAAATAACCATAATAACCAGCTTGATAACCACCCATAATATGATTGAAAGAATTAAAACCTTTAGTAATTTCACCACCACTACTAACTAATGCAATTGATTCTCTTGATTCATTCCAAAATTTAGCAATATCAATTGATTCATTTTTAGAATGTAATGTCATATCAAATAAACCAAAATGTAATTGTCTTAAATTAAATAAACCACCATTAACATGTTTTGAACGAATTAAAGAATCAATTAATTCATCATCAATCTTGTCACCAGTTTTATAATGTGATGATAAATCACGTAATTCATCCTTGGACCAAGTCCAATATTCCAACATTTGAGATGGAGCTTCAACAAAATCCCATGAACAACCTGAAGGACCATGATATTTACCATATTCAGTATTACCAACTAAATCATGAATACCATGACCTAATTCATGGAAAAAAGTAGTAACTTCATCATGTTTTAATAATGATGGTTTATCCTTTGTTGGTTTAGAAAAATTACAAACTAATGCAGTAACTGGATATGCTCTTGAACCATCGGTTTTATTATAACCTGGATAAATACCAAAATTTGCAGCATGACCATATTTACCATCTCTTGGATGTAAATCAAAATATAACCAACCAACAAATTTTGGATTAGAAGAATCATCTAAATTCCAAACAGCAAATTGTTTAACATCTTCATGCCAAACAGATTTTTCCTCAATTGAAGATTCAATAAATTTTAAATTCATTAATTTTGAAAAAATTCCCAACATTTTATCAATTGTTTCTTTTATTGGGAAATATTCTGAAATTTTTTGTTGATCAACTTTATATTCACGTTCTAATAATAAAGTATCATAGAATCTATGATCCCAAACATTATAAGATTTAGATTCTGGTAAACCTTGTTCTTTTAAATGTTCATTTTTTAAAGCTAATAAATGTTCACGTTCTTTTAAAGCTAATGGAGTTAATTTCTTTTTCAAATCATCCAAAAATGATAATACAGTTTTAGAATTTTTAGCCATTTTTTTCTCTAAAACATATTCTGCAAAATTTTCATAACCTAATAATTGTGATAATTCAGATCTTAATTTAACAGTTTCAATTAATAATGGTTCATTTTGTGGAACTTTATTTTGATCACCAATAAATGCCTTTTTACGAGTTTCTTCATTTTTAGCATATTTTAAAACTGGGAAAATATCTGGATATTTAAAAGTCATTTTTAATTTATCATCTTCAGTTTTTTCAAATTGATCAATGACATCTTGTGGAACACCATCTAGTTCTTCTTTGGTAAACAAGATAAATTCTTGTTGTTCACCAAGATTTTTACCAAATTCTAAACTTAAATTGGATAATTTTTTTTGAATTTCTTTAATTTGATTTCTTTTTTCTTCAGATAATGCTAACCCATTACGTCTATAATCATTATCAATATCTTTTAAATATTTCTTGGTTTCTTCAGTTAATGAATCATAGTTTGCAGTTTCTTGATATAATTTATGGAAAACTTTATATAAATCTTCTCTTAAACTTTGTTCAATACCAAAATCTCTAAATTTTTGTTCAGATTGAGTAGAAGCATCTCTTAATTCTTTATTAGCACTAACATGTTGATAAAAAGTTAAAACATTAATTAATCCATCATTTTCATTATCAAAAGTGGCAATTGGTTGGAATGCATTTTCCACAGTTGGATTATCAACTAATTTAGCAATTTTATCATTCAATTCAGTATTTCTCTTGATATAATCTTCAGTTAATTTCAAGATTTCTTCAGATGAATGATTCCATGAAGGTGGAGCTTGTGGTGGGATGAATTGAGATTGAGTTGACATATTTCTTGTTATAAATGGGAACAATTGAAACTTGTTAAATTGTCTTGAGATCAAAGGAACGGCTTGGTATGCGATTGCAGAAGTGACTAGTACTTTGGCAGCAGTGGAGTACTTCAATTGAGGCAATAGCATGAACTTGAACAAGTTTTCCCTTTGAGAATTGATACCATATACCAATATAAATATGCCACTATTCAATTCAATTCCCCCGATCAAATCACCATTCGGTGCATAAGTGTAAAAACCATTTTTAATGTCTTTCACACTTATGCAGTTTTCCCTTATTTTCGCGAATGGTTCTGGTTTTTCATAACTTTTGATTTGTTCGTCGAAAAGGTTGAATTTAGTAAGGAAGTGGTTGGAAAAGTAGCATAGAACCATAGAAATAGTGAGTAGTTATAAGGAGGGAGTATGACATTGGAAGTGATGCAGAATTGAAGGTTTCACTAGGGAGTGTGGTGGTGTTTCAGCTCCATGTTGTGGAAAAGTTTCAATATATGGATCATTATTTTCCAATATTATAAAGTGAAAATAGTACTAACAAAATATAGATTTCCAAAATGTCTGAAGTAAAACAACAAATTGTTCCAAGTCCATCACAAAACATCTTAAACGATAAATGGGATGTTGTCCTTTCAAACACAATTGTTAAAACTGGTTTAGGTTTTGGTGCTGGTGTTTTAGCTTCAGTTTTATTATTTAAAAGAAGAGCTTTCCCAGTTTGGATAGGTGTTGGTTTTGGTTTAGGTAGAGGTTATGCTGAAGGTGATGCTATTTTCCGTTCAAATGCTGGTTTAAGAACTGTTAAAGCTTAGATATTTGTATAATTATATTTTATTATATCAAAAATTTAGCATTACAAAAAAGTATGAAAATTTAAGGGTCATGTGTGTTTTTTAATATATTCAAAAAATTTTATAATTGTTTTTAAGGGTGTAGCTACATTGTTTATAGGTATATCATAATGATCGTTAAATTTATATGCAAGTTTTTGGGATATATAGTGAACTTTTGTTCAATGCAAGTTATGTGAATGATAGCAAATTTATAAAATAAATAATGAATTGAAATTGAAAAGTAGTCCAAATCATAATGGAATAAGGCAGTGAAAAGAATACCACTAGGGTAAATGAATTGAAAATAATGCAAAAAAGGAAATTGATAAGTAGCAATTAGAATTGAAAAAACACACCATGTTTTTGTCTATAATTTATATTTTCCATTCAGTTTCAACATTTTGATCAATTTTAATACCAGCATCAACTTTATCCAAGATACTTAAAGCCATAGCATCAGCTAATTCTAAACTTTGAGCTTCTAAAATCTTATGAGATAATGGAATTTCATTAGTTGGAGTAATTGGTTGTTGTAAAGGAGGTAAAAAATTTGATGAAGTTGAAATATTTGAAGATTTTCTTGAAGTTGAAGAAACAATTGAATTATTATGAGTTATTGAAGGTGGTATTGATCTTGGTTGTGGTGACACAATATCTGATGATGGAATAGAATTAACCGCCATGTTTAATTTATCTGATAATATGGATGTATTTAATGGATCAATTATTGAATCTGATCTTTTTGATGTTATTGGTGATGAAGAATTTTGTAATTGTAAAAATGAAAATTCTTTTTCTTTTAAAGAAAATTGTGTTGTTGATGGTGATGATGGTTGTTGTGATTGTGATTGTGATTGTGATAATGGTGGTGGAGTTGAAGATGTTGATTCTAATGGGTTACCAGCATCAATTGAACAATTTCTTGAAGATTGAATTAATTCATGATTATTTAAATTTGTAAATGAAGCTGATGGTCTTATTTCCACAGATCCTCTAATACTTTGTTCTTCTTCTTTATTGAAATCATCATATTTCATAGCAAATATTCCATCTTCATCAACACTATTATCTAATTGATCTGAATTATTTTTAAATTTTGAACTTATTTTTGATTTAAAAGTTGATAAAGACCTTGTTAAATTTGAATGGGGAGGTTCTGACATGGTTTCTAATGAATTTTGAACGAAGCGCTATGTTTTAAAGACCTTTAAAATTGTGGTTTATATGGTATATTTCAATATTTGAAGAATGTACTTGATATTTAAAGCCTCTTTTTTTCCCTCTAATATATAATATAAATTGATTTTTTCCTGATCTAATTAAATCTCCGATCTCAGAAAATGTGACTAAATTTATTGCGAGATTTAAAACTTATTTGAAACAAATCAGACAAAAGTTCTTTCAATTTGAATACTATAGTTTATGATATATCAAAGATTCAATTTAAAAAGAGAATCAAATCTTTTTATTCATTTCTTTCAATCAACTCGCCATCGTCCATTTTTTTTTACCAGTCTTGTGAGCGCCAAATTTCCACCAAAAAAAGATCAAAGTAAAGTAAGTGCGCAAAAAACGGCGCAAATGTGAAAAAATGTGTAGATCTGTATATAATTTATGAAAATCTAAAGCGTCATTTTAACTAAATTAGGTAATACGATTACGCAAAAATTAAAAATTTAAAGCATACCAGTGATCAGTGATTAATGAAAAATTACGAGTATATTCATCAAGTTTCCATGTTTGTTTCAAGATCAACTATCGTTTATTATACATGATAGCAATCAAGATCTTGAAGTGTTGTTGACATTTATTTATTTTTAAGATCTAGTTTATAGTTTAAAGTAAACAAACTTTAATTAATGTTCTCTCAAATTCTTTATAAGTCGTCAATTGTATCAAGTTCTTACAACTTTGTGTACTTGCCAATTAATAGGTTATCCCTTTTCATACTAAAATTTCAATGGACTTTAGGTGACAGACCTTGACAATAATTAAAGATCGCGAGTAGTTAAAGGTAAGTAAATGTGAGTACCATTCGTGGAAATGGGAAAGTTCTAGATTCTAGATCATGGTCCATCAATTATTCGGGATATTCATAAATGCCGAACTAACAAAAACTACTCCAGGTAATTCGAAGTAATATAACTTAGTAATCATGATTCATCAAGTCCGCTATTTTAATTTTAAACCGTTAAACTTATAAGGTGACCCCATACTTTGTGACGTGATTTTGTAACATTTTAACCCTTTTTACCTTATTACGGGTACTTCAACTTAATCTTGGTGAGAGATTGTATACTATCAATAATTAACGCGTTAGTAGTTAAACTTCACGCGTCATAGTGTTGCACTGATGTGAAAGTTATAGCCATTCTGGAATCAACTTCAACCCCGAATCACCATTTAATCAAATATGTAGACACCTATCAAATACCATCAAACCTGTTCACTGTTCACTGTTGACCTGTTCACTCCAATCAAATATTACGTAATACATATTCTGCTTGCTACGATAATGCCTTATTACTACATACATCAACTCCTTTTATAGGTTAACAGATCAATTGATTTATAAAAAAAGGTTTTGATAATTAGGAGAACCAAGTTTTAATATGATTGATCAACTTTTAATAGGCGCCTTTTAACAATTTAGCGAATTATAATTTTAGGCAGTTAAGAAATCAGAGTAAAAATTTTTCATAAACTTCATTTAACGGTGTTGTTCGTATCAATTGTATTTCTTCGCAAAAAAACTTTTTGCCAAATTTGCGAAAAACGTACCCAATTAAAAAAAATGCAAATTTATTATAAATTAATGGCGTAAATTTGTACTAAATACAGTAATTGACCGTTTTTACATCATAAACTTTATTTATATGGCTTTAAATTATAAGCAGTAAGCAGTCAAGCTAGTGATTAATTTATGGAGTTATGATCGATCTAATATATTCACCCAATTAATGGGATTAAGTACATCATCATTAATCACGTTAAAGTTACTATTGATTTCTAGTAGGTCGTATATTGAATTTTTTTTAGTGCTCAGCCATGTTAATGAGTTATTGATCATCATTCATCAAATAGTACAAAGATCTTAGACATTTTTACAAGAATTAAGCTCTTTTGGAAATGGCTATGAAGTGTGAATTAATTGTTTGGATAACCATGGATAGATATACTAATATGGGAAACAATTAGATCCAGACATTATGTTGTATGAATTCAATGGGAAGATCGTAACTATATTTTTAATCATATACTTTTAAACTTAATTCATATCGGTTACAGTAAGCTTAACAGTATACTAATTTTAAATGATCTAGATCTTCAAGATCTTAAACTGTTGATGAATTAATGTTTAACTTTCCAGATCACTGTATTTCTCAAAATTCATAATACTATTCGTAAATTAATTACTATATTAGTTCCAACTACATCAAGTATTGTATTCTATAATTTCATAATTTCATAAACCTATATACCCATTATATATAATCCCATACCCATATGCTATATCTATGCAAATTTCAAAAACCCCCATGTCTCAATAACCACTAATTGTTAATATCATCAAAATTCCAACCACATTCATTATTTTCAATATGTAAATTTAACCAAACATCAACATTTTCAAACCATTTACCACATTTTTTACAATTTCCAGGGACTTCATTTCTTTGTTTTTTCTTGGTACCTGGTGGATAATTAAAATGTAAAGCTTTTAAATGATTTTTATAAGTATCACAACGAGAGAAAATCCCTGTTGGATGACATGGAGTTTCTTCAAATTCATCTGAGTTATGTGTATGTGGATGAGGATGAGTTTTTTGATATAAGATTGAATTAAATGGACATTTAAAAGCACCTTGAGAAGAACCAGTTTCTTTCCAATGACGTTTATTATGACGAAATAAATCATTTGATCTTGCAAAACCACGACCACAAATCTTACATAAATAAGGTCTATTTTCTGGTGTTAAATGAATTGATTTATGAGTTGATAAATTTGAAAAAAATAAATGACATTCAGGACATTGTTTCTTTTTACGTGGTTGAGGTTTGGTTATTTTTGATGAGGTGTTGGTTATTGATGAATGATGATTTATTGGTAATGATTGTGATCTTGATGTTGGTGAATTTAATCTTGTTTGTAAAGGTAATGAATAATGTTCTTCAATTGGGGAAAAAGTTGATGATGATTGATTTGATAATGTATTAATTGAAGGTAATAATAATGCAGGTTGATGAGGTATTGGAGTATGTAAAGTATATGAACTTGTTGGAATTTGAATTGTTGATGATGAAGTTGATAAAATACCAGATTCTATACTTGGAGAAGTTGAAGGAGAATTTATTCTTGTATTTGGGATTGAAGTTGAACCAAATTTATAATCCCATAATGAATTATGAGGATGTTGAGGATGTATAGGTTGAGGATGTTGTTGTTGCTGAGTAGGTGTCTGTTGATTTGATGAAGGACTAGTTAATTTTGGTAATGGTAAGATTATTGTATTATTATTGATTTGATCTTTATTAAACATATTTTGAACATTATTAAAAGTCATCACAGCATTCATAACTGGTTGTATGTATTAACTTCACCAAGATGTATATAATATAAATATATAGGACTCCTTTATCAGATTGAAATGATATGGACTTATGATCAGTTATATATAAGCTAACCATTTGAGTTATATATAAATCTGTCAAAAATATACCTAAACTCCACGGCTGTAAGTAAATATCTCAACTAATTTAATAATTATGGATGATTTAGCCATACCAATGACATACTTAACATCCTGAAATATAACGCAATGAGCAACAATTTCAAGTAATCAACAACTATCCTTCACAAGACTTATAAGCTGTATACTTAATGGCTCATTCTAACTTCATACAATTGAATAAACAAGACATTGTTTATTCGATTCCGACTTTTGACATCTGGAATTACACGGAACTTTTAAATATCATCTGATTATGAACATCAAGTAGTACAACACTTAACAAAGCACACAAAGCACCAATATATTGAAACGGATCGGTTCAATCGCAAGCACTTTAACTCATAACCGTCATACACGGCTAGTACAAATATCAAACCCCTTTACTCTTCACCCTTAATTAATCACTTGATCCTGCCATTCATAGTTGTCTAATTTCTTGCTTTTCATGTCTTTCTGTCAAATATTGTTTAAATCCACTCGGTCTTATCAATCCGAGTATTTTTTTCACGCTTTGCTAAACAAATTCGGTATTGATCAGCCGTATTGTACAAGAAAATAAATGCTTAACTATGAGAACAATAGATAATCAGGGGAAGACAGGGATATACAAGTACTATATAAGATAGACTAGATCATGGTTATATTAACTCTTGATTCTACTAGTTTAATTGTTAATTGTACTTGATCTGCTTTATATCGATTAATATTTCTATTATGCAAAAGTCAAAATGGATACGACGGATCATTAAAAATACGCCTTTGAAAAAAAAGAAAAATTAAAAATTTAAATTTACTAAGTTTTTATTGAACAGTTGAGAAAATGACAGATTTGAAAAAAGTCATGTGACTTTGGTAATTACATAATCAGTATAAACTATTTTAATTATATTTATTAACAAGAATTGAAAATATAGAATATGAGAGTTATGATTAACCTCTTATTTTTTATTTTAGTCTCTATATAAACTTATAGTTAATTCAATTTGTCTTTGTTTTTGGTTTATCAATTTTATAAGTTTTAATATAAAATCCAATAAATAAAACTAAATAAGATGACAAGATAGCACAACCAGTACCAGCAGCAAATGGTGTACCATAACAAGTACCCATATTTGGAATATTAATACCTAATTCTGTACTATATTTATTTGCATAAAATGTATAAGTTGAAAAATAAACTGCACATAAATCCAATACAAATTGTAAAATTTGGAAAGTTGTAATCCATTTTTTCCACCAAACTCTAATACCTCTTGATGCTAAGAAATAATACCAATACATAACAACATGAACTCCTAAGTTTAATAAAATTGGAATCCATGAAACTGATGTAGCACCACCTAATTGAATAAAACATAATAATGCAGTTGCACCATGATGATAACTATGTAAGAAAATGATTTTTTTCTTCTTAACAACAAGGAAATAAGTATCAACAAATTCAACAAATTTAGTTAAATAATTTAAATAATAAATTGTAACTAATTTTTGGGACCAAGTATTTGGTGAACAAATTGCATATAATAAACCATGATTAACCAAGATTGGTAAAATTTGTTCAAATAATAAAACTAATAAAGTTAATGAAGCTGAAGTTAAAAAGAAATTATGAATTGAAAATAATAATTGTAATTTTAATGGTTGTAATTTTTTAAAAATTAATTGACCAATTGTAATTATAAAATAATAAGTAATAATACCAATGAAGACTTCTTTATTTGTACTTAAAAAAGTTTCTCCTTCAATATATTGAAATTCATTTGGAATGAATTTACCACCTGTAATCAATGTGGCAAATTCATTAAAAATTGGCCATAATTTTAAACCAAATGGAGTTTCAACATTTGGAATTTCAAAATTAATAAAATTTGGAGTATAACCATTTAAAATATTTAAATATTTTAAAGCATTGGTATGGATGGATGATGGTTGAACAACATTCAAGATCGATGAAGTTACTGATTCAACTGATTCAACAATTTCAGACATTTTTTATGATTTGATTTGGTTTGTTGATATCAATGAGAGAAAAACACGAAAAACTTTAGACCTTTAACACAACACAGCACAACACAATGAATATAAAGGAATAAGATGCAATAGGAAAGGAATGTATAATCACCAAATTAAATTGAGATCTTTAAAACAAAGAACCAAATGACTTCAAAAACAAATATAAAAGAAGTATAAAAGAATATTTGAGAAGTAGAATTTGTTGTTTTTTTTTTCTCTGCCCGTTGATTTTTTGAAAATTTAAATTTCTGATCAGAAAAAAAACCGTCAAGAAAAAAATAAAAAAAAAAAATGTTGAGAAAAATTTATGAACGCGATTTGCAATTTAACGAGAATGAAATGAACAAAGTGAACAATTGAACAAGTATGAATGAGGAATGAGGTTGATTAGGTTAATGATCTAGGTATTATGTTCATTGTCTATTTAGTTATGAATCTTTTCACAGGTTTTAAAGTTTACAATTGAGTTTACCTTTTATTATGGTTTCATTTTAAAATAGGGGTTCAATTTTAAAATTCTCGGGTTTATTCGGTTTCTTTATTTTTTTGATGGGAATTTAGGAATTTTATGCTCAACAGTTTTGAAGATCTCAGAGATTTTAATGCAGGTGAATAAAATGACTACAACAATGATAATCATATAAACTCATTAATTAAACTTTCATACTTGTTACTATATATATTGATATAAAAATCATTGTTTTCTTTTCCCTTCATCAACTTCTTTAATCTCTGTTAATGTATTATTACCTGATGATAAAGATTCATTTGTATTTATAATTTTTGATTGATTAACAGTACCATCACTTGTCTCCTTTTTATTTGTTTTATCCCAAAAATCTAATGATGCAACAACATCATAACCACGTTCATCTTCATAAGCATATAAAATTTCTTGTGAACCTGTATGCAACAAACGAATATTTTCTCCAATTATAACTCTTAATAATTCTCCAGTTTCAACATGACGAATTTCAATAAAATTTGATTCAAATGCTAATAAATATGGATACCACAATGCAAAATTTTGTGGTATACCTTCCCAATTAATCATAAAATCATATCTTGTTCTCCATCCATTTTTATTTATAAAAAATGAACAATCTGAATATGATAAAAGAAAATTTGAACTAATTCTATGAATTGCTAAAGGTTTTAATCCTTCTTTATTAATAATAAAATCTAATGAAGTATCTGCAGGATCTAATATAGCTTCAATATTTCCATCATTTAATGAAACAATTTCAAAACCTTTTGTACAACCAACAATTAATCTTGTCTTCAAGAAAGATATTGAAACAGGTTCAGAATTAAAATGGAACTCTCTTGTTTCATTTTTAAATTTCTTTTTAGACATTTTCTTTGAGAATGGATCAGTTGGTTCAAAAACTCTAATTAAATCAGATTTTGCTGCAACAACAAGGATTTTACCACCACAAACACCAACTTTAAAAAATGAAACATGTGACATTAATTCTTTACCAGTTTTTTTATCTTGAACAATTAATAATTCTAATGGCCATGCATATAATTTTTTATCAGCTAAAACTAATAATGTTTGATATTCTTCTAAAACTTCCAATTGTGTAACATTAACTTTTGATACAATACGAACTGGTTTTGAAACAACCCGGGTTGAACCTCTAGTTTTAATTTCACTCATGAAAACACCAGAATCTGTACCATATAATAATCTTCTACCACCATCACATGGGGCAAGACAATTAATTCTATTAGAAATATCAAAAAATCTTTCAGCTAATGGAGTCAAAGTGAAAATATCATTCTTTTCTCTAATTTTATTTTGTTGTTGTTCAATTATTGAAATTAATGATTCTTGTGCACTATTTGTTGCACCATATAAAGTTAATTCATAACCTCTACGACCAATATAAGCAAATGATATTGGAAATTTTGTATCATTTTTAGAAGGATGATGAATAACGTGTGCATATGCACCAGATTTTCTTGTATATGGTCTTAATGATGGCATTTCTTCAGATGCACTTAAATATAATAAAGGTAATGGAATTGGACGTTGATAAACTTTATGTTGTTCTCTTTTATTAATAACTTTAACACGAACAAATAATAATAAATGATCCATTAAATAAATTTGAATATCACCTTGATTATCTTTATCTTGATTTCTTTTTTTTAAAGGTGCAGTATAAACAATTTTACGTTGATCTGAACCAAGTTTTAAATCAACATATTCACCTGGTCTGAAAACTAATCTTTGTTTTAATAAAATTAATGCATGACGATCTTCAGCTTTACCAACTTTAACATTAATTCTTTCTAATAATTTTAAAATTAAATCTGAAGCTTTTAATAAATCAGGTTTATCAAATGAATCTTCTTTTGTAGATTTAATAATATCTTTTAATAATAAATTATATCTAACTGTACGTGTTGTTGCCTGTGATAAATATGAACTAATATTTAATCTATTAGATTCTGGTAATCTTTCAGTTTCTTCAATAAATCTTGCAAATAATGGATTTGCAGCTTTTTGTCTTTCTAATTCATATTTGGCAAAACACTGACCAGCGTTATAAGAGACAAAAGGTTCAAAAAATGGTATAAATTCTAAAAAAATATCACCAATGTTTTCAACAACAGGTTTTAATTGTTGTCTTCTAATTAAAGCATCACGAAATCTTATAGCAACGTTTAAAATATCAATAACATTGAAAAAAACAGTTCTTATAAATTTTTCACGTTCGATTATAGGAATTATATTTGATTCTCTTAGGGGTCTTATCCAAAAATCTCTTAGATATTCTAAATTACGAACAAATGTACGTTCCGTGGCAACAACTTCATAAATTAATTCTTGACGTTTAACTTCTTTTTTATCCATAGCTTGAATCATTTCTTTTGGTACAGTATGAGACCATAATTGTTTCTTTTCTTCCTCCTCGTGTAATGATAAATGAGATTCATTTCTCTTTAGCCCACCTTGAGGTTTCATATTTAATCTTGCTTGTTGTTCTAATCTTCTTGGACATGCAATTGAATAACATAATGCATCCCTAGTACATGTTGGAGAATAACATTCAGTTAATAAGGTGAAAACACCATTAACAGAATGTTGTTGATCTTGATCAATATTTGGAGAACCAGGAGTTGCAGCAATTGTTGATTCACTAACAAATGAACCATTTCTACTATCAATACCAAAATTTGAACCAACATGTCCATGATGAGGTTGACCTTGAATGTTTTGTAAATTTTGTGAAGATCCATTTGGTGTTGATGAAGAAGCATTTAAGAAAACTTCATCAAATTGATAAACTTCACGATTTGAATCTCTTAATCGATGTTCATAAGTAACATCATGGAAAAATTTTTGTGCATCCAAGGCACGACCTAATAATAAAGCTAAATTTCTATCAGTAGTTCTAATAATATGAGATATAACATCAACTGCATCTGATCCAGTGAATGCATCTCTGTATTCTAAACCATCTTTATTATATTGTGCCAACACAATGTTTTTTTTAAATAATGTTGCAACACGAGATAACATTGCAGGATAAACTTGTGGAGATCTTGAAGCTGTTGTTACAATAGTTCTTGATGATAAACTTGCTGAAGATGAAACTCTATGAGAACTTAATGAAGCAGATGATGAAACTCTTCTTGCCTTGGCTATTGATGATAAACTTCTTGTTTTTAATCCAAGACCCATTGAACTTGATGATGATGATGAATTTGAATTTGATGAAGGATTTGAACCATTGTTGTTATTATTACCATTTGTGAAATCTGATTTTTGTATTGAACGTCCACCACTTGAATTTTTTCTTTGAGAATCTGAATTTATTAAATTTCTAAAAGAAGATGAATTTAATGACATTGATCTTCCTGAATTATTTAAAGGTTGAATGTTATTATGATTATTATTATTGAAATTAGGATTATTTGAATGATTGAATTGAGATTGATTTGAAGGTATAGAATTTGAATTTCCAAATGATGAAGATGATATTAAATCAGGTGAAGTCACAGTTCTTGAATTTCTTGTTAATAAATTAATACCTTGTTGTAAAATTGGTGATCTTGTTGAATATTTTGACATTGTTGGAGATTGTTGATATCTTTGAGAAATTGGCGCACTTGAAGGATCAGTTGTTGTTATAGGTTGTAATCTTCCAGGTCTATTACTATTATTATTCACTGAGGGGATTGAAGATGAATCATTATTATAAATGTTTAATCCACCAGTTTCTGGAGGTCCTATTGGAGATTGTGGAGGAGGTTTACGACTTGGAGATTGTGGAGGTTGTTGAGTCTGTATTGAATGAGGAGGTAATAATTGACCAGGTGGATGTTGACCAGATTGACCAGGTCTTTGTTGTACTTGTTGAGATTGTCCTTGATAATGTTGTTGTGTAAATTGTGGTTGATAATGTTGTGGATGAGGTTGACCATGTGGTAAATTTTGAGGTTGTGGTTGATTTTGAGATCGTAGATAAGGATCTTGTGATTGTGGATGATGGAATTGATTTTGACCTGATGGTCTAAAATGCTGTTGTTGTTGTTGTTGTCCATAAGCGTCATTAATATTTAATTGTTTTTGAAATTGTTGAATAGGAGGAGATTTAGCAGGATCTAAAGTTGGACGATCGTCTGTATTTTCAAACCCAAATGAATCTTGATGGTTTTGTTGATCTTCATCTGGTCTTCTTGAACCAAATATATCATTAAATAATTCATCACGAGTCAAATTACCTTGACCGGACATTTTGATAAATTCTCAGTATATAATAACTCAAATTTTTGTATTTTTTGATATTAATGTTGTTAATCCAAACACACACTGTTTTATTGATAACTTTGTAGCATGAAATAAACCCTTTAGACTGTTGATCTTGTTCTTCTTATTCTTGTTTTGTTGTTGATTTGATAAATATAGCCAAAAATAAACCAAATTGAATGGCAAAAAACACACACACAGCACAAATATTGGATCAATTTCTTCCACAGAAACTCAAATACCAATAATAAGAGAACAACTAAAGCACAAATAGGAATAAAAATAGCAATGATCCCTTTGAAATACCTTGAATACAACTGACTTGATGTTTTGTTACCTTGTTGTCTTTTGGTTTGTTGGCGGTATTTTTACTAGGCCGTTTATTTTTTTTTTGATCAACAAAATTAAAATTCAAATTGGAAATGAAAACAAATGAAATTTAAGAAAAAGACAATTATGAACTTGTGAACTTGTGAACTATTGATCAACTATTAATACCACAATTGTATAGAATCCACAATCAATTAATCAAATAGCAAATAAAATAGTGAATACAATTAAATTCAGTTGAAAGGAGTCTTTGAACAGCAAATAATTAATTTATTACTTAACCATTATCAATTTCCGAGGGTCTATATCACATGACTTTTGTGCATAAGTACCACAACCAGTTACCCTCGGATCATATTAATGCCCATACTTAATTTCAATTTCGAATACTTGATTTGATTGTGGGTATTTAATTAAAAGGAGGTGTTGATTGGATTACAAGGGAATATCAGTACAGCAATGCCAGTGAGTATGATCAATTGAGTAAGGGAGGTATCATAGTACTAACATTCTTTATAGGCTTATCATTCAACTTTCTTAACAGATCCTTCTTCAAATGAACGTTTAGTTGGTAAGTATATGACACCAAATCAAATAAACCAAATTGCTAACTCAGACTTTTAAGGAAACTTTGCATTAGCACCAATTAGAACCAAATATAGAGGTCCCGCATATCAAACAGATCAAGATTACGATATAATTGATGAATCATTAGACCTATTCAGAGCTAATTCTTTTTTTAAAAATTTTGAAATTAAAGGACCAACTGATCGTGTTTTAATTTATGGTATATTATATATAAGTGATTGTTTATCTAAAATAACTATAAATACACCAAAACAAGAGGCTGTTAAAATATTGACAAATTTATCATTGGATCATTTTGCTATCCCAGGGGATGGTAATTTCCCATTAAATTCATTATATTTACCACCAAAAGATCGTGGGGAATTTGATTTGATTAAAGGGTATTTAACTCAATTTAGACAAGAATTAAGTTCAAGATTGATAGAGAGGATTTATAAAGATGATCTTCAACATCCTTCAAAATATTGGTTAGCTTTTACAAGAAGAAAATTTATGAATAAAAGTTTATAATAAATTATAATTAAGTTAACAATATATAAATAAAGTGTACAGGGTATTATTTTTTTGATTGACAATTACCACACTTGTAATTCTTCAAATAAATCAATTCTATATGGTGATAATCTTAAATTCCTAGCTGTAAATGATCTTATATCATCACACATTATTGGTGGACCACAAGTAACAATACCAATTGAACCTTGAGAATTTATAAATTCATCATTTAAAATCTTGTTAAAATTTGCACGACCAGCGTAAAATTTTATAAATGTTGAGAATTTCTTAATCATTGGTAAAGTATCACTCATTTGATAATTAAAATTCCTTGTTATATAAATATCAATTTCAATATTAAATTCACATAATTTCATTAATTCTTCTTCAAACCACTCAAGAGATTCAATATTCCTTATAACCCAAATTAATTTTACTCTTTGTTTTAATAATAATGGTTTTGTTGATAATTCTAATGCATGATAAAAAGGTCCTGGGATACCATTCCCTCCTGCAATCAATAAGGCGGTTTGATATTGTTCTAATGATGATTGATTCCCATATGGCCCTTCCAAAGCAACTCTCATTTGAAAATTATCATGACCAATCATGTTCAGGACTTTCTGGGTTAAACCATCCTTAGCTTTGATATAAATTGTAATTTCTTCATCTTTAAGCACAGAATCCACTATAGTAAAAGGATGGGATTGCCAAAACATTGACCAATGTAAAAAATGTATATAAACAAAACATCCAGGAAATGGTTTCCAATTTGTTGGTCTTGACACTTTAACAATAAAGGTTTCATCTGAAATAAATTTTAAATTTGCCCATGGAGTTCCAAATTTACATAAATTTATAATACGAATTATTCTATCCAGGGCCCAAAATGCACAGGCGCCATATATCCATTCTTTCCATCCAAATGTTTCAACATGTTTCCAACAAGTTATTAAAAAACCCGCAGCGAATATGATATGTAATATTAAGAATAATTCATAATGTGCAATTCTAAAATTATGAATAGCTTGAACAAGTATAACAAGACCAATAAATATTGCAACTGTACCCCATTGAATATATTCTTTCCTTAATGATTTAAACAATGTACCTCTTGATATTATAATTTCATAATAACCACAAGTATGAATAAATGCATCAATAAACATAATCCTTGCAGTCCATTTATGAAAAATCATGAAAGAACTATATGATAATTTTGAAATTTTAATCAAAAGATTATTTCTCCCTGCAAATAATATAATTATTGGTAAATGAGCAAATGAAAGAACACCAGATCTATCACTTATATATCTTATAAATTGACCAATTAAATTCCCATTAAATATCTTGTTTTCATTATAAATATCAAAATTCTTGAATAAATAAACTGTATGTAATATTAAATAACCCAGGAGTATTAAAGCATCTGAACTTGATGGTAATAATGAAGTTAAATTGAATAAATATGTGAAAGGTTGGAAATGTCTATTGAAAATTATTGGTAATGTTAAATTTGATCTTATAGAATCTATAGGTTCTCCAATTAATTTATTTATAAATCTCTTGGATTTAAATCTATTCCATATCCCAATGTATAATAATACCAAAAGCCAATAATAATTTAAATAAATACCATAATCTTGTGCAAAATCAAAATTCCCTAAGAATGCTTTATAATCCCTTAAACTTAAATCTAATTGATTTTTCAAAGGTAATACGGGGACATATTTAACTTCATCCTTATTAAAACCTTCACTCAAAGGATCCTGTAACCATTTTGAAGAATTTCTTATCAAACCCTCCACAATATCAACACTTAACCTCTGACCATGATTTGAACCACAAAATTCAACAAGTTCCTGTACAGCCAAAGATCTAGTCCTTGGATCTGGTGAATAATGATCAATACAAGATGCTATTGATCCAAGGAATGGGGTATAAGTACAACGACATTGATAACCTTGACAATCAAATTTATAATTATAAAGAGCAGTTTCACATGAATATATGATTATTCTATGGAATGAACCTTTTTGAGATTCTGCTATTGCAGAGCTAAGCCGTATGAAGAATAGGACTAGTAGTAATAACTTCATCTTGGTACCACCAACCACCGTCTATTTCTATCAACCTTTTTGCCACTAGTGTCTATCGATCTTATTGTTTTCTACTTTTTTGTACTTTTTTGTTGATATTTATTGATTTTTTTATGATCCGCGTGCCCAGAAACCAAAAAAAAAGAATTGAAGCGAAAAAGATTTAAAAGATAACAAATAATCTAAAAGATCTGGGAAGAATTGAATGGCTGAACAATAGATTGATTTGATGGGTTAAGTAGTCTTAGGTTGTCATTTGAAAGGATATACACCTATATTTATATAAAAGTATTATCAAATCAGTAGACTTTAAATTAATCTGTACAACTTCTTACCACGGTCACGGTCTAATATTCCACCATTAACGA